GGTCACACATTCAGAGCCACCTATTTTTTATCAGTCTTGCATTTTGGGGGAGCTGCAGCAGAGACATCAGTGTCTCTGTGTGCATCCATAGGTTGCATTGAGAGCCAGGCTGGAAAGGAATTGAAGGGGGAGATACATCATGGTAAACCTTAGGCTATGCCCTGGGAGGGTAGGGAGGAGGTCAGGGAAAAGGGTAAGGTCAGCTGGCCAAACTTGTTGCACTGGCACTTAGGTGTTTCTGCACACATGTGATAAAAACAGTGTGCCAAAGTGGAATTGCAGGGACACAGGCATGCAAAATCCGTTTCAATTCTACCAAAGTGAAGGTTTTTGCCTCCCACCTGCCTGTGCCTGCTATGAAACTTGCTCACACTTCCTAATGGGTTCAAACTGAAAGAGGGAAAGCCTAGGTTAGATGTGAGAAAAAAAGGTTTTTACTCTAAGGGTGGTGAGACATTGGAACAGGTTTCCCAGGGATGTGGTGGCTGCCCTGACCCTGGTGGTGTTCAAGGCCAGGCTGGATGAGGCCTTGAGCAACCTGATGTAGTGAGGAGGTGTCCCTGCCCAGGGCAGGGGGTTGGGACTAGATGATCTGTAAGGTCCATTCCAACCCTTAAGTTCTATTACACTATGATTCTATGAATTAGGATAATTTCATTTAAGTCAAAACTACAGCAAAAAAATCTATTATTATGAATTTTCAGGTAAATTTGATCCAGTGACTGAACATGGTTAGAGAGTGATTACACAAATAGTCAATGTGGCAGGTCCAAGAGAGAGATAACATCTGGAGAGCAGCAAAGCTGGTTGCTAACCGTTTTGCTATGATCGTGTAGTTGAAGCATTTTACTGCTCACAAAGGATGGCAATAATTTTACATAGGTACATTTCCTTAGCTGTATTTTGCCTCTTGTAGGTTTTTGAGCTTTGTATAATGTGGTGAACAATTCAGTCATTTAAAAAACATTATGGCTCTTCTTTTGTCTAGATGCATGAGTACAAATCTTCAACCCATCGCATTTTTCGTCTGAACAACATAGCCAAAGCACTTAAGTTCTTGGAGGACAGTAATGTGAGTATTTCCAAAGGCTGGTCTTAATATCTTCTCTTGATCTATGCTGAAAGTTGTAATTGTTGTAGTTAGTCTGATGTGCTGCATGTACATAAGGGGAACGTACTGCCTAAAGAGACTGTGACTTACCTTAGCAGCAAGGCTGAAAAGCCACGTAAAAAGGCACAACAAGAACACCTACAGAGTCAAAAACAAGGATTATTTGTTCATTTTATATGTAAAAGTTCAATGGGATAAAAGGATCAGGAACGCAATATTCAAAGAAATAGAAAGAAATGTAAGTAACTTTTATGAACTGGGTCTTAGTGGCATTACTTCAGTTACACTGAAGGTAGATGACTTTCTTTTGTCAGAAATACTCTCAGTATTACAAAACATGTGTTTATCTGGTAAACTGCTGCAGCAGCTGATCATGAGTCAAAGGCAAGAGAAAATGAAATCTGGGAACATGACACGATTGCAGAATTCCAGGAATCAAAACCTTATGGGGATATAGCTTCACTCACAGCCAGTGTGGCACTACTGCAGCATCACTTGCTAAAGTTATAAGAGACCAAGCACAATCAGACCCTGTAGCTTAAAATGATTCATTCCACGTTTTTTTTTATTTCTCCCATTATGGGTTTATTCCAAAGCCCTGTGGAAATGGCCTCTCTCTTGAAAACTCTCTGCTCTTGAAAAATGTTGAGAAGTACTGGGAATCAAGAGAAGTCCCAGCCATGTAACAGCTCATACACATGGTACACCTAGATCATCCAGAAAGAGAAAACAAACTCTGGGCTATTTCCTATAAAGGACTGCAGCAAGGTTGAACTTAAAGGGTGAGGAGGGATCCAATGTGGGCACAGGGGCAAAACCCTGCCCTGTATATGATGCCCCAACAGCAACTGATGTCATCTTGCTGCTTCCCTGCACTGAGTTTAGCTCTTGCTCCAGCAGCAGTGCTAGTTGTGCAGGAGAATTGCTGCAAACCCCAGGCAGGAATGAGCATGATGTGAGGCTTATGACCTCGTAGATGTGGGAGGTTTAATATCCTTTTCCTTTTTCCCCAGGAGAGGATGTGAAAGGTCAAAAAGTTGTCCAGGTGTTCCAGTCTCCTTATGGAAACTCCACCAGTAGGGGCTGATCTGGCCCTAAATGTGTATGTCTGCTGTAGAACTGCTAAGAAATATTTCACATGTTCACATATTTCTTAACAGTTTCCCAGTTGATGCTTTCTACCCAAATCCAGCTAAGGCCCATTAGCAGATGAGACTTTTTTCTCTCTGTTGGTACTAGCACATTGCAGAGCTGTGACTGAAGCATGTCTGGTTGCCAGGACCTCACTAGTAGTTAAGCTAGAACCTCATTGAGCAAGGCCTGGCAAGAGGAACCTTGAACACAGGTGGCCTTTTAATTAGTAGGGCAACACCTACTATTCTATAGATTTCTTGTTCCCTTCAAAGTAAGCAGACAATATCTTCTAGCTGGGTATCTCTGCGGGGCTGGGTGACAAACATAAGCAGCAGTAAGAGAACAGAGCTCACACTGAGAAGTCTAATCACAAATGTCACTTGCTCCCCATTTTGGAGAAACTGCTATTCAAATGTACTAATTCTCAAAGGTTTTCTCATGCCAAGTACTTCAGAGCTTGCAAGAAATCTCAGCCTTTACATATGACAACTAGAGGTGTCTTCTTGCTAAGATTGAAAGTGTTGTGCAAACCACTAGATAAAAAAGTTAGTTTGCTTTCCTTTTTCCAGCTCAACCAAACCGGTTAGTGAAGGGTGGTGATGAAAGTGTTGGCAAAGCCTTGGCTGCCAAGAGCTGCAGGGTTAGATATTAAACCACAGTGGGTGGAACCCATCAGCTCACGCTTCTGTGGGACTGGGGCAGCAGGGTAAAGCACTGCTGAGTGATTCACCATGTCCAGGATTTCTCAGTGACTAATGGGCTGTGTGCTGGGCTTTAACTCAGTCTGGGTGCCATACGCAGTACTGACAGCTTCCTTCTTTCCTCCCTCCTCCCTGACCTTTGCCAGGACCAAGTCTGTGTTGTCTAAGAGAATAACATCCTGGTGTTATCAGCTGGAAGAAACCTCAGTGTGGGAAAGTCTATAGTTTTCTTGGCTTAGGCAACCTTATCCTTTGCTAACTGATGTAATCAGAACTCTGTGACAAGCTGTGTAAGGAGGGATAAGCAAGGAGAAAGGAGATGCATAAAGTAAGCAGATCTTACTAGGATTTTAAATTTTTGTCTGAGTAGTGACTCTGTTTTTTAAGAATGGGATCCACTGCGGGGGCCCCATCTTGTTCCATTTTTGTATGGAGGAAACACATTTGTGGCCCCAAAAATCAGAACTGTTCTTCACTTCTGTTCTTTAGACTATGCTGGCCGTTTCAGACAGGAGTTCCAGGAGCAGGGTGATTGTGATCAGGGCAAATTATCATTAACACAAGAATTCAGTATTGCTTTTTGTCTGGCCAGTAGTGGCAGAAGTGCTGTGCACATATCCAGTAGTCTCAGTGCAGTTTTTGCATATACTTTGCTGCTTTGCATTTGGCTCTGAATTTATGATCTCTTCTACAGGTGAAGCTTGTTAGCATCGATGCAGCTGAAATAGCAGATGGAAATTCCTCTCTGGTACTTGGACTAATATGGAATATAATCTTGTTTTTTCAGGTAATAAAATTTGAATACTTTAATCATAAGTAAGCAGTCTTTATGGTATCAATCTATTCCAGCTGAATACTGATTTTTAAATTGATTTTTAATCCTAAAGAACATAATTAATCATGCTAAACCTGAGCTTTGCCCTCCTAATATACACTAATTTTATACTTGCAGCTGCTTTCATTTTACTTCATTGGACCTATTTCAGTGTAAATTGGAGACAAGTTAAGCCCCTCATTTGACTTGGACCTGAATTAGAGCTTCAGATTTCTACTTTCCCTTCTCTCCTGTGCCTCTTAGAGTTCTCTTCCAGATTCCGTGGATCTGAATCAATGTCCTGCGTTTGGTTCCAGGTCACAGTTTATTTTCAATAACCTTTTCTGGATTTGGTCCAATGTGGTGGGAAATTCCATGCAGAATCACTGATCTCTGGAGACTTACTCAACATGGCAAAAATTAGCAAGTGATATTGATGGTCAAATGAAAGATCTCGAAGGGCCTGGAACTAAGAAAACTGATTTGAGCCTGAAAATTGTTTTAGTCCCAAGTTTAGATTCAAACTGCTTCTTAATCTACACATAGTTTGAAAATTACCTTCTAGATTATACCAAATTCTGATGGACAGAGAGATGGAGGGAGAGTTCTGTAATTCTCTTAAGACTGTCCTCTTGGTCTCATTTGAAAAATGGCTATAGGGTTACAAAAATGATCTCCACGTTGCACTGAGGCTTCTCTCCCTGCCTGAGCTCCTCAGGCTGAACTGTGCTGCACAGAACCACTTTGGGCAGGCAGAGTCACTAGCAGAGACGGTGTGACCAGGACGTGTCACCCCAGCAGCAGAGGGCATAAGGGACCCAAAAGTAGCACAGTGGATAATTTGGATTAAATGTCAGTGCTGACTAAGGACAGGATTTGACAAAAAATATTTCACTCAAGTGACTCCTGTGAAGAGAAAAATTTCAGTTAAACCAACTTTTCTTTCAAGGACTTGTTCCTTTGCTTTTTCTTTAATAGGAATTTGCATAGGTCTCAACAGATATCTTGCCCTTTCTGCTGTCTGGGATTGCCAGCTAGGCTGCTGCTGGCTGTCATGCCTGTGTGATACAAGTTGAGAGTTAAAATGCACAATTCTATAATTACCTCTTAAAATTCAGTTATGGCAGTGATCTCTTTAAAGTTTGCATGAAAACAAGGACACCATGCAGCTGGTGATACTGCATGTTTCACCTTTTATTACAGATAAAGGAGCTGACAGGCAACCTCAACAGGAACTCCTCTTCCTCCAGCCTGTCCTCTGGGCCCAGTGGTCCAGAGTCAGATACATCCCCCGGCACTCCCAGTGTGGAGAGAAACATGTCCATTACAGTGAAGGATCAGCGGAAGGCCATCAGAGCCCTTCTAATCTGGGTTCAGAGGAAAACCAGAAAGTAAGCTAACAAACCCTTGTATAAAACCCAGTCTTGCCACCTGCCCTTTTGAAGCTGAATCTCTTTTCTCTCTCCTGCCCTGTGGGTGCATTACCATGTGCTGTGGCTTCTTCTGCTCTCAAAGTTTGCGAGCACAGGTCTCTGCAGGAGGGTGTTTCACTATGGCCATGTGGCTACAGCAGCTGTCTGACCTTGAGCCTGCTGCTGGCTTCGTGGCTTGAGTGTTAAATGTTAACTTGCACTAACCTGCTTGGTGTTGTCAAAACCAGGATCATTCCCTCCTCCACATACCTCTGGCTTTTGTGCAGTGTTTGATATCTTTTGGTAATTAAAAGCTGAGTATAAATAAGGGGTGAATCTATCGAAAGACTTTATCAACAGCCTTTTACATTAAGCAACAGGCCTCAGGGAACTTCTCTGTGTGTTGCAGAGTGTCTTGAAGGACAGAGCCCCTATCAGAGTCTCTCCTTTCTCAGAGTTCAAGAGGGGAAAGAGGGTCACTCTCTGAACATGTGCCATTTGAGTCCATTTCCATTGCACAACACATCTCTCTCCTCTTTAATAAAAAAGTGGTTCTTTAGTCCAAGCATTTGGTCTAGTCATGCTTTATCCTGGCAGAGTTACTGTCAGGTTAAAAAACTGTAGTGGAAGATCTCTAGTGCACATGCAAGTGCTTGGAGTGTATTTCATGTATATTGTTATCTGAAGCGATGACTGGCAGAGTTTTAAAGAGAGACCATGGGTCAAAGCTTGGTTGGTTAGCTGAATATTCAGCATTTTTATCTGTTGATGTATTTATATGCCCAAATCTGCCTTTGAACACAAATGTTCTGTGTCTAGTGCTTAAGACACAAATTTACATGTTAAATACTTGGTCCTGTGGACCACATCATGCCTTGGTTATCTCCAGTGAAGCTAAGAGTGCTTGTTGAGCAGATAAACTTGTCCCATTGAGATCTGTAGTTCGCTGCTGCCAGTGCAGACCATAGGGGAAGCACAGTTTTAGTCCCAAAATAATGCTGATATTGTTATTGTCAGGGAGGTGGTACAAGGAAAGTGAGGGCCAGAGAAGTAAAGGCCGTACACTTCTCAGTCCAGTCAAAGAGTTGAAAGCAAAATGAAAACATGTAATAGGAGAAAATTGTTCTTGCAACTGCACTATTAAAAACATAATAGTGCCATTATAATCCTGTTATCTCATGATCTGTGCAGAGCTTTCTATTCTGGGGCTGTATTTCATTGCAAGTTTGATGGCTGCTTTTTCCTCCAAAACTCTGGGCTTATAACGCACTTGTGGCTTATGCATATGCTGACACCGTTTGCATTTGGCAAATTTTCTGCTATAGAAGGCCAAGTACACAGGAATGTGAATCATTTATGCTTATGTGTTTAAATATTTAAATCTTGGCAGTTTTCCCAAGCTATGGCATTAAAATGCTGGAGAGCAACAGAAACAGGAATCACAGAGACATTTGGTTTTGTGAATGTTAAATGTGGTTGCTGAATTCTTGAGGGCTTTGATTTACTAACTACTTCCTACAAGCAGGTTGATGTCAGCTGCTAGCCACACCAATCCAGTCTGTGAATCCCTGTGCTTTCTGCATGTATTTGTGTGTTTTGAAATCCAAAAATATCTCAAATGTGACAAGTGCAGCCTTGACTTTGGATTTTGTAATACAACCACCCATGTAAACCGTATGTAATTCTATTTAGGTATGGTGTTGCAGTTCAGGACTTTACCAGCAGCTGGAGGAGTGGCCTTGCTTTCTTAGCCATCATAAAAGCCATAGACTCTACTTTGGTAGACATGAAACATGCACTGGATAAATCAGCTCGAGAAAACCTGGAGGATGCTTTCAGCATAGCACAGAACAAGCTGGGTGTTCCTCGGCTCCTCGAGCCAGAAGGTAAAACACCTACATCAACTTTGTTGGGTAACATTCAAACTATAATGACTAAATGAATATTGCATTGTGATACCTATCAAACACCTCCCAGTGATTAGGCTGTTGATGTGATAAGAGAAATCAAAATGGTCAGTGGCTTGTAGCTGTATGCTTCAGTTGTATTTGTAAACTCTTTGGGGGCAGAGATCTTACCATGGTTTTAGCTGTGTACACTGGTCTGGTTCATGTTTAGATGCTATGTGACATCTGCATTACGAGTAAGCATTAATTGTTCTGCTGAGGGATGTCTCAGTGCATTAGTACTGTTTCATAACACCTCATCTGCAGAGACTAAATGTGTGTGTGAGGCTGCTGGACCAGGAAAATGCATAGATACCTATTCAAATGTATTTGCATCTCCCAGTTTGTCCTTTACAATGCATATATACACATGTAAATATAAGCCTATATGTGTATATAAATGGACTTCTTGTAGTGCATTTTACTGAACTCTACTAGACAGGTGTTAGGCCTTGATGTTATGATTGAAAGAAAAATTGCACTTTCATGCATCACCTGTTAGAAGCCTGGGCCATCCTGCTAAAAATAAACCTCTGTATTGTCACTCAACAACACTCAACTGTCTAGTGACAACAGCACAAGTGACAGGATAAAGGTGGATGAGAAGGGACCCTGATCAGGGTTTGGTATGTGTTTGGAAATAGGAAAATATTAATGTGAATAAGATGTTGAGAACTCTCTTGAGTGCCATCAACACTGAAGAGCATTTCTCTTTATCTTTCAGAAAACAAAAAGTGTTTGTAGTTGTTATTTCTCTCACCATAAAGGCAGGATAAATGTCTGATGATCTGTTCCTCTGCAAGAGCATTTTAAAGCTGTGTGTGCTCAAGTCCCTTGTGTCTGTCTTCATAGATATCATGGTGGAAACACCTGATGAACAGTCAATTGTGACGTATGTGGCACAATTTCTGGAGCACTTCCCGGAGCTGGAAGGGGTATGTGTTTACTCCTATGTCACATCATTTCTTTAATTTGCTTTGGTGTGTTTAATAAAGTCTGATATTTATTTTCTAGGTTTCTTTCTAAGCTATTTCACATCTTTCTTAAATCCAGTGCAATGGGCTTTGATTTGCGATTGCTGAAATGCTTTAGGTAGAATTGTGCTTTTAAACATTTACATCCAATTGTAACTTCCAAAGGTTAGAACTGATTACATAGGGCTCTACTACTTCATAGAATCATAGAATTTAAGGGTTGGAATGGACCTTACAGATCATCTAGTCCCAACCTCCTGCCATGGGCAGAGACACCTCCTCACTAGATCAGGTTGCTCAAGGCTTCATCCAACCTGGAATGAAACACCGCCAGTGTTGGGGCAGCCACCACATCCCTGGGCAACCTGTGCCAATGTCTCACCACCCTTAGAGTAAAAAACTTTTTTCTCACATCTAACCTAGACTTTCCCTCTTTCAGTTTGAACCCGTTAACCCTTGTCCTATCATTGCAGTTCCTAACACAGAGTCCCTCTCCAGCTCCTTGTAGGCCCTTCAGATATTGAAAAGTTGCTCTGAGGTCTCCACAGAACCTTCTCTTCTCCAGGCTGAACAGCCCCAACTCCCTCAGCCTGTCCTCATAGGGGAGATGCTCCAGTCCTCTTAGCAGCTTCGTGGCCTCCTCTGGACTTGCTCCAACAGTCCCATGTCCTTCTTATGTTGATGGCACCAGAATTGCATATACTTAGCTATATTTGTCTTAAATAAGGCTGAAATTTATCTCCTCATCTATGATGATTCATTAGACTTTAAACTGAATTTTGACTTTTGTCTTCTCAAGTTTGAGGGCCACAATCAATCTGAATTTAGCAGGAATCAGGCACAAGATACCAGAGACTGAATCTTGTCACTACAGCAGCCAAAAGCACTCACTGTAAGCATGAAATAAACTGCAGCTTAAACAACCAGGACTTTGATGCAAAAATAAATAATTAGGGGTTAAGCAGGGAATAACAGTGTCAGGGATTGACAAAGGTCTTTTGGAGAAAGAGGAATTTCCTCTCATTTCTCAACTGAAGGTTCCAGTTGGGATATATATTGTAGCTGATAAAATTGTCAGCATTACTAAAGTAATTGGGATTAAAATTATTATAATAATCTAATTATTACTATTAGATTAGATGAGCAGTAAGGTTTGTTGCCATTAAGACTTGTGAGTATTTTAATGGACAAAAAGAAATTATCTAGCATATCAATATATTTCACAGTTGATTCAGTGAAGTTGTTAGATTTATGTTATTCCCAGGGTTTGGGATTGTGGCAAAAAGCCAAGTCAGTTGTCTCCACAGGTGCAGCAGGGAGAGATGAATACATTAACAACTGAGGAGTAGGCTTGTCTGCATTCTGATCTTCCTGTACAAGCGACTCTTCTTGATGATGAGCTTTGTCAATTTGGCAATTGACTTGCCAAATTAGTTTTCTTGCTTTCAAAATAAGTGAGTCATTAATTGGCCGTTCACAAGAAAATGGGGTGATGAGCTAGGTAGTTATTCCTTCCATAGGGCTCAGGAAATGTAAAATGGTATCTGAGGTAGGATTTGTCTTTTAATGGTGTATCATCACTTATAGGAAGACTTTACGGATCCTGACAAGGAGCTTCCTATTGAGTCTACATACGTCCACATCAAAGACACACCGTCAGAAAAGGAAGGCAAAATCTTGATTTTAAGTGAAAGTGAAGAAAACATGTATACTGTTAATCATGAGAGGAGTCATCCTGCTCCTCCAAAGGTCCATATTCATGACATCCCTGAGAGAATCCCATCAGAAACCGTTCCTGAAAACTGTAATGGGAAATTGAATCAAGAGTTAGGTGATTCACAGGACACATCTGAAGAGGAGCCTCAGAGGCCTACCTCCCTGAAAATTGCAGGATCTGTCAGTTTTGAATCTAATTGCTCTTGGGAGGTTCTCAGTGATAAATTCGTGTCGGGTGAAGGGGGCATCGCTGATGATCCACTGAAACAGAACAATAGCCTCTCTCCAGCTGTTGTGAGAGATCACAAAAATTCTGTTGACTCATTTGAAGAATACTCTGAAGAATTGACTAAAGAAACACCTACTGAATATGACCACGAAACTAAGAGCCTTTCAGCCAATACTTCTTCTTTGAGTCCATCATCCTGGACTTCAGGTATACTTACAGATGATTCTATTAATAAAATAGAAGAGACCAAACCCCAGTCTTCAATTCTTTTACCAGATGATACCTCAAAACAAGAAGATACGCATAAGTATGTTCTTCATCTTCTGAATGAGGAAATACAGAAACCTCCACAAGATGAACATACAAAAGAATCACCTGTCTTTGAGACAACAGAAACAAGCCCTTGCTCACTGAATGGTTCTAATCTTGAAAGCCAAGAAACAAACCCTTGCTCATGGTATGGTTCTAATCTTGAAAGCCAAGAAACAAACCCTTGCTCACTGAATGGTTCTAATCTTGAAAGCCAAGAAACAAACCCTACTGAATGGTTAATGGTTCTAATCTTGAAAGCCAAGAACTATCTACACAGCCTGAAACATCTGATGACTCTCTCTCAGATGTATCTAAAACTCCAGAGGACCTGGACAGCTGTGATGAAGTTGAGCCTGCATCTAAAGAGGTACACAGTACTTCAAAAGTGTCTGTAATACCTCATGATCTCTTTTATTATCCACATTATAATGTTCCCATATCAGCAGTTCTGGATGCTTTCCTTGAGCCTCGTATCGAAGATTATGACACTGAAAATGACAAAGTTTCCTCTGAAACAGTAACAGATGCTATACCTGAGAAGAACTTACCAGAAGAGAACCACAAGGAAGAGGCTCCAGAGCCAGACTTGGGGAATAAGCTAGGTACCCCTCAGTCAGGAACAGATACTGAGAGCAGCGAGGAGGAAACTACAAATATTAACAGTCACATGAATTCTTCCGATGAAAAAGAAGTGCCATTACTAGTAGAGGAGTCAGAAATTGAAGAAGATGGCAGTAAGGCCACCGACCATCAAGATTCCACTGTTCCACAACAACCTCAGGTATTTTATTTTTGTATCACTAGTATTTCTTTGTGTGTATATGGGGAATTAGCATCTGACCTCAGTGGTTTTAATTTGATTTCATTTTGCAGTGTTTGGGAGAAATATTTAAAATGTACTTGGTTTCCTGTCCCAGAACACTGTTTGCCACAGCCCCCTACTGGAATGGATGGAATTGCAGATCCCTGAGTAGACCTGACATTAAAAGAGAGAATAAGTCCTAATACTAATAGTACTGCAAAAATGTGAATTTTTATTCTGTTTAAAAATGGTTTGAGGCTTCTGTATAATCCCTAGGTATCCTTAAGTAGTATTGCTTATAAAGAAAGGAAACAGGCAAATAATGATTTTTGTCTGAATCCCCATAAGTTTGCCTACAAAAACAGAAAACCCCAATTTGAGTAGGACATATTACATGGGTAAAATGAAGGCTTGTCTGCATTGGAGGAGGAGAAAGAGGAGAAATTTTTGGTAATTATTCTGGGTATTTGGTTTAGGCAGTTTGCTCCTGCATCTCTTCTTGCAGACACTGGTTTTGAAGTGCCTTATGCATTTTCCAGCGCAGTAATTTTTGACAGTGTTTTTCAGAATGAGTATCCATTTAATGTTGCCCTGCATGTTGCCTAGAAAAGTTGCTTGGACATGCTTTGGTCCTGACACTAGAGTAATGAAGTCAGTTTGCTGTTAGCTTGAAAGACTAATTTGGGATAGATTTTGAAATGCCTAGTGGATTCCTTCAAAGAGCCATGTCATGTCATGACTTCTAAATAGAAAGAACTGCCAGCTCACTGTAGGTGTGTATGTTGAACTGATGATCTTTTATAGCTCAATGTATCCATAAAGATTTTCAAGGAATTAATTGCTTTGTATTCTCTTCAGTGAGACTTGCAATCTCATACTACCTGCAATTTAGCACCTGAGTAGGCTGCACCAGGTGTTTGGAAGGGTGGGGAATCAGTCTTGTTGTCTAATGAAAAATGTTTCTTAATTTCAACAGGCCATAGTAGAGCATCTAGAGGATTTATCAATAACCATAAAGACACCAGAAGAAAATAGTAATAGGGAGGAGGAAGGGGGAAATATGATCAATGAGGAAGATTTGCAGATTCCTGAAGTTGCCACTACTACTCTATCACAAGATAACCTGGAAGAAATTGGGGAATGCCAGGAATTTGCCAGGTATTTCACATTAACTTTATCTTAAATACACCTAACTGGTCTTTTCAAATGTGCCCTGTCCATTGGATGTTTCTTGTAGTCTTCTTTTAGGAACAGTGTATGGCACTCATTGGCTGCTTTCTGTGTTTGTCTTAAACATGTCAAGTGATTCGGTGCCAATGGGACTTGATCTGACTGTGCTATCCAAACTTTGCTGCACAAAACCCAACTGGAACCCCAGTGCATTTTGAACATGGCAGTGTTATAACTGCTTTTCCAACAGAAGGAGTATTTCATAATGTAGATGAAATAATCCCATGTGCATTGTGACACTATGTGGGAAGTGTGATGCTGATTCATTCCAACAGATATTTTTGGGATGTCTTGCCTGATTATGAACAAGTAAATGAGGTTGTGGAGAGAAAATAAGGTGAAGAAGTCATGGGTCAAGGTAAAGGCATTTTAATGAGAAAAAAGCAAAAGCCATGTGTGGAAACAAATTAAAAGAAGACCCCCCCCCAAAAAATATGACATACTCTCTACTTCCCATCAGCAGGCACTGTGCAGCCACTCCTGGGAAGAAGGGTGTAGTGGTTGCTTCAGAAGACAGATAGAAAAACAAATATTTGTGTGTCACTGCCCTTTGGTCAGTCTGGGTCAACTGTCCTGCATCTGTCCCCTCCCAGCCTCTTGCCCAGCCCTCAGCCCACTGGGATTTGGGGCAGGGGGTGGAGAGATGACCTTGATGCTGCTCGAGCACTGCTCAGCCATAGCCAAAACACTGCTGGGTTACCAGCTCTGTCCTAGCTCCAAACACAAAGCACAGCACTATAGCAGCTGCTCTGGGGAATTTAACTGCACCTCAGCCAGAGCCAGTTCAGAGACACTAACTGATTTTATTCCATTCACTTTGGTTCCTTCTTACGTTCTAATTTAGTTCTTAAGTAATGTGTTTGAGTGGGACGTGAACTGTAATTTGTTGATGCTTATCACTGTAGCACTCTAATGAATTTGAGAGTTTGCTTAGAAAAACCCATTGTCTCCTTCAAGCTTTCTGTTCCCTGCAAGATCTGACCTGGGAATACTCTCATTTAAATGTCAGTAATGTCAAAGGTGCAAAAATGCTATCAGATACCATTTTTCAGAAAAGATTCCTTTTTGAGCATATAATTTTCTTCTTGTGAATCAGATTTTTCCAAAGCTGTTTTTATAATGTTACTGCTAAATTCCAGTCTGTGTTCTAATCCGTGCAACAATGCATGTTTGTGGGTTTGCATAGCTTAAAACTGACGTGTGAAACTGCAGTGGCTCTCTTTAACTTAGCTTTGTGACTTTAAAGCCCTTGCTTTGACATACATTTCAGAACCAGTGACAGTGATGCCAATATTTATCTCCGAAAAAGGTCTCCTAATGCTTCTGAGGAGGTAAGGCATGGAAATGTATTTATCGCTGTTTCTCTTGAACTCCAAAAGTCCACACACTGTAAAAAGGTCTACTCTGTCTGTAAAGCTCTGTGACAGTACAGAAGCCTTGTTACTTCTAAAAATTTTAGTGCCAAACTCAGGCATAGCTGAAAAGTTTTACTTAACTCTCCTAAACACATGGAGCTGAACCCTGGTGAGCCTTGAACAAACCCACAGAGGAGTACCTGATACTACAATTCAATCCATTGTAACTTTGAGTCTTACTTTGTCCTAACTATATAGTTGCAACATTTCACTTCTTTGAAGTTGCCTTTATTTGCTGCCCTGTTTATTTCAGTGTTTGCATTCTCTGTATGTATGTGTGTTGGTGCCCTGATCTGAGCCCTGAAAAAATGCTGGATGTCTCCTGAAGAGCAGTGTTTCTGATCAGTTGGGCTTCTTCCCTCTCCTTCACAGTAATGGAGTTTTATATTATCTCAGTAGCAGCAAACCCTAGAAGAATTTTAGTTGTAACAACAGATGTGATTCATACTGGTTTCTTGAGTGCACACTGTGCAACTGAGCTCTGGATTTTTGTTAAGTTGGAAGCTGAAAAGAAGGACCAGCATCAGCAATCTGGGCGTGCTGAGCAAGGATCAGGATGTGGCTCTTTTCAGCACAAAAATAAAATTCTGACCATCTTGGAGTTTTAAAGGAATGCTGTCACCAATACTCAATGAAACGGAGGTTTCACACAGATGCTTTAGTTTTGCGATGCTGTCAGAGCTACTAGAAATACATACAAATGAGGGCAGCTTTATTGAACTGAATGAAAGCAGCTGAAAGCAAAAAGATGTTATTTCACAGCTTCTGTCCTTTTCTGTGTGTGTACCAGACTGCAGTTGTGGATGTGCTTGTGGGGAATATATTTATAAAGCACACTTTCACTTTACTTGAGCAAACATTAGACATACTCTGCATAAAATACACACACAATTATCACCTTTGCGAGATGTTTTTGGTTTTGTTATATAATCTCTTCCTGGTTTGTTTAAGGAAACCTATGGTGTAAACGAGCAGAAGATGACTGATCTGGGTGAAAATCCATTAATCATCAGGTGAGTGGTTCTTTTGCAAGGAATCCATAACTCCTAGGTATGACTAGCAGTGTTAGAAAGGCAAATGGAAAATAACTGTAATGGTAGTGAATGGCTGGATGTCTTCTGTAATGGCTTGGAGTCCATATTTCCCATAGGTGTAAGATAAAAAACTTCCTTATTGCTCAATCTCTCCCTTGACTAAAATGCTTTTTTTGACTTGAGAGGAAAGATTCAGCTGTCTAAGCAAGATTCTGGGCACTTGGTGCACATGGTAGATATCTAAAGCCAAGAAAAGAGTGGGAGAACTTCAAATGTTAAGCCCTTTGGCAGTGATGACTTTCCAGGTTTGGAAGACAGTCAGGACAACGTTTAGTGTGGTTAGTACTAGGGAAAGGCAATACCTTCAGTGGAGGTCTGGCCTGTGTTAGAGCACCCATGAGTTTTGGTAATTTCTATGTGTGTTTAGTTTAGACTTCGGGTGGTGGGTCCTCAGTGCAGTGTGCATCCATTTGGTATTAGGGTCTACATATCTAAAAGAAACAAGGATCACTTTAGATTTTCCCTCTCAGCTGATACTGAATAGTATCTCTCAGAACTTCTAGTTAAATGATTGTTATATCTAAATGCAGAAAACACACAAAATATTATCAGGATCCACTGTCCTGCTCTCACTTGTGCTTCTGCTAAAAAAATACATGAATAGCTGTCACAGTTATATCTGTTTTCAGACTCCTGATACAGCAAATTTTGTGTACTACTCAGGTATATATCCAGTATAGGATATCCAGTAGGATGCCCCAAGCCAGAAAAAAAGGACTCATTCATACAGGCCAAACCCCAATTTTTTCTCCAAAAATAGATTAAAACCAGCCTACTAGAGGGATATTCTTATAGTTGCACTCATTGCAAAATGAGTGCACCATCTTATGCCTTTTAAAGATCATTTCTTGTCTTTGTGAGAGCTCAGTGTTGTCATCAGGCTTTGCCCTTATGAACCACAGCTAGAATTTTGGAAAGTTGAAATTTTGGAATTGTCCAGGCAAACCCCAACTGCTGGTTGGTTTCTGGAAGTCTTCAGCTTTTTCTGTTTTATGGTCTGGTGTCTGACATGAGAAACTCTGAAAGTAGATGATTTGGGGAAAGTGTATCAAGTCAGATCAGTGTATAAGTAAAATTGTGAAAGTGTTGCCCAGAGCTATGTGGACTCTTCTGAAATAAAAGGGCATCTTTTTAACTGGTGGAAATCTCCTTACGTCAAAGGGCTGTGCTGTAATGGCATGTACTTAATGCTACCTGAGAATCTGGTGATTTCAGAGGTTTGATTGCTATGTACATTAGCTCTGGAAGGAACACACTGCTAAAGCCCATGATGCCCCTCTGAGTCTAGCTGGGACTCCAACTGACTAGCTTGAAATGGTTCATTAAACTGCTGTCTTTTAGTCTGCCCTCTGATCTTCACTGTAAATATTAGCACTGAAGTTTTTTTCTTCTTTTTCTTGCCTCTTATTGAATTCTCTCCTGTTTTCAGGAAGAAAAAGGACTCGGAAGCAAGTGAGACTCCAACACCAACTCATGAGATTACGATTTTTGAGCAGCCAGAGCTATTCTACTTCATCATTTGTTTCTGGGTGCTGGTCTACTGCCTTTTACTCCTTCCACAGCTTCTTAGCAACAAAGCTTGATCTGGGTGAAGTGTGGAAAAATACAGAATGGTGGTTGGATTGCTTTGTGTATCTGCATATGGATATGTTCCTTCAGGTGAAGCACAAACAGAAATCCAGGACCTGGTTATTTGTGTTTATTATCAGGTTGTCCTCAATTCCTCTACTGTTGTGCTATGACAGTGTCAAAGCACGTTTTATATTATGATAACTCTGTAAATATATATAAAAGTGACCTGATTTAGTAGACGCAATTTTGTACATTTGTGCCTTGCTTTATAAGATGCTAAATAAACCCAGATAATTATCAGTAGAACTATGAACAATTCAGAGCTCTAAGTCTTCAAAAATTATTCTTCTGGCTTTTCATTTCCTTACGTAGGGCCTGATAGCTGTGGAAGAGGGATGGTATTGACTTGCCCCTGGATCTGGCCCACCTGTAAGGGCAAGGCTGGAAATGCTTCTTCGTGTTTTCCATGGAATTCTTTGAGAGAGTTGGAGGCAGAGCAGAGGTGGTGAAGCACACACCAGAAATTGGTTACAGTTCAGTAGGAAATCCAGTGGAGTAACAGAATGAGGTTGGGGGTTTATTTGGGTAGGGGAGATTGATTATTTTAGGATTTAAATTCATTTTTGTCCTGTGCCTTTTGTTGTTTGATTTTCAGGAATAAACTGGGTATGGAGAAGTGTGAAGAACACACAGAGTAGCTGCTTCTTAGGAGGGATCTTATGGGAAATCTTAGCCCAGAAACTAAAGTTTTTAAAAGTACCTCACTGCTTCTGAGGCTGCTTCTGCTTCATTTTCTCTGCTGCTTTTCATTTCTCTTTTTTTGAAGAGACAAAAAATAATAGGTAATTTGCTGAGGCTACTGTTAAGGCACAAGTAAAAGGATTAGAAATATCCTTTAAGTGCCCAAATCAATAGAGAGATGACAGATGTAAAACTAACTAAGGAGAAAAGTTGACAGCCAATATTGACTTTCTAGTGCAACTGAAGAGACTCCTGTGGCTTGTCCATAGGGACAGATGAGCCACTTCTGCCTCTTGTAATTTTTGTCCACATCAGTGATCACTTTAGGATATTTTATTAAGGATTTTTGCCAGACAATGTGTAACCTATGCACTGGAGAATGAAAGAGAAGTATCCAAATTCAATTTAATAGTAGTAACTTTTCTCTGCATGACTTTTAGTGAAGTCACTACTTTTCATTGGCACATATTTAGTTTCATAGTATGATTTATGAGACTACATCACATTGCTGCTTCTACCTGAAAATTCAGAAGGTTGGCAGGAATGTGCTTCATAAAATGAGGGGTTTCATGATTTACACTGAGTGAAAATTCCAACACATGGCTATAGGTTTTACATATTTTCTTGTAGCATAAAGTGTATCCCTACCCTGGCTTAGTTTTCAGATGCACTAACAGTACCTGGGATCAGGGCACATCAGGATATACAGCAATTTATTTGCAGGTATTTAAAACCTGTTTGTAGTCATGTTATCTGCTGGGGTAATCCTGAATGTCCATCACACTTCATTCTTCTTCGTAAGCTTTTTATTCCTCTTGGATTTTTCTTCTGAGCGGCAGTTAGAATTCAGTAACATGGCAGGAGACCTTAAACACTGAAGATGAAATTCTGAACACCCTTCAGTCAACAGAAAGCTGAAATTTGTTCCTATTCTGTCCTGTCACCATTGACTAGAGCTGGATCCACCCCATGAACCTAAAACTAAGGTCCATTGTGCTTGGTCAGATCTGCACAACCCAATTGTCCCAACTTAATTCAGTGTAAATCAACGTAAGTAAAAAATTCTTTAATCTTGCTGATGAAATGTTCCACATTTTGAGTCATATGATTTTGTGATCCATGTACCTGTTTGTGCTTGTTGTTATAGACAGGGATACATTCTTCCAAAAGAAAACCTATATTAGAGTTTTTGAAGACGCTTTCTTGAAGTAGGCTAAAATTGAATACCGAAGGGTTAGTACTTTGAAGAAGAATGAAGAATACAAGAAACTTGATATCCTTATCCTTAAAACCAGGGGTACAGCATCTATTTAATAGCAGCAAGTAGCAGTGTACACTAGTTTGGAGCAAAAATGTTGACAGCTCTTCATTATGTGCCACTCTTCATAGGCTCCTTTGGTTGATCACAACTTTTTCTGAGCCTTTGTACCTTACTCTCTGGTTCTTCCATGTTTATGAATCTTCAGCAGAGATTATTTGGATTTGGATTACAATCTCTTCATAGAACTTTACAGCTCTCAAAGCTCAGTCAAGTAAAGTATGCTCCCTTCTGTCTTCTCTGCTTCCTTCTAAGAAAATTAATCAGACTGAGGAGCTCTTTGGATGTCGTGCAAACAATTGATATCCATGAAGAATAGAAAGGTGAATGGGAATGCACTGATGCTGGAAATTTTATAGCACAGTATTTTCATCCAAGAGGAGAACACCCCAAGGTTTTCTTTGTTACCTCCTACTGATAAGCAGTGACTGAAACAGTGAAATGAGCAGTTTAAATGTCAAACAGCATCCAGCAATTGTCGTAGTCATCTCACCCAGTGTTTCAACTGATGTCACTTTCCAGCCTATCCCATTAAGAGATGGAGATTGTTTCTTCCATGTAAAATAGATGAAAGAAAATACTAAATTAGTCCATGATACTTAGTATTACGTTGCTTTCCATTTTGGGGTTTGTTTGATTGTGGTTTTGCTATAGCAGAATCAGTGTACCTAGCCCAGCCATTCCATGGGTGAGAAGATTCAGGGTGAAGAGTTAAGAGTGATTATACTTTCATCTGCATAAACAGCAGCTTCCCCCAGTTAAACTCACTTGTAAGCCTGCATCTCTTCTTCCACAGTGCAAGATCCAATCCTTGCATGCAAGTGCCCTGTTCTGAAACCATTGCTTGTTCTTGGGCTTTGTCTCCTATTCTGTGCTGCTACATAAAAGCCTGACTGTGAACATTCACTATGGCAAAGTCTATTTTAACTTGCTGCCTAGAGGAATGGTTTGAGGTAGAGGAATGTTTAGAGGCTGGTGGGCAACCTATCATCACTCCATTTGCCAACAGATAGGTGCACTGCCTGAACAAGGAAGTTTTTCCTGAATTTTTGCCTGAGTTTTTGAAAAATGCTAAGCTTGAACTGACCACATTTGGTATTTTGATTTAGCAGCAGAATTGAGATACACAAGGGTACTGATTTCTTAAGACTGTTTCTAAAACCTGCTGGTTTTGAGCAAATGTGGGTAACAGAGTATTGTGACGTGTAAGTGTCAGGAAGTGCTTGAGGATTGCTGGATAAGGGATGTTTGGTGTTCATAGAAGCACCATTAAAGACTGAGCAACAACTCTAATAGGACGGTTCAATGCCATTGTAGTCATGTAACTTAACTGCAGAGTGTTTCATTGTGATTTTATAGAAGGTGCAAAGGGAAGACAGAACCCCACTGAACATTTATGGGGCAGATGACAGGGTTGAGGAAATGGGTCAGTCACATAATCTACAAACTGAACTGAATATAGCCTTTGCCAAATTGTAGGAAATTATCGGTGCATAGGTAGGGCAAGCACAGATCACAGTAAAAAATGACAATCAGTTTTCAATGCCATGAATATTTTTTGAGGGATTGAGCTCTAAAATGTATTTTTATTGAGTTTCTAGATTGTAATGAATGTGTCTACAGAATTTTATGCAGAGCTTGAGAGTTCAGCTGTTTTAAAATGATTTTTTTTATATAGCAGTGATTATTTTATCTATATATTTAATAGAACTGTAAAACCATTTTAAGAGTACCTGTAAAATTCTATGTATGTGATATGATTATTTATTAATTATGACTCATGAGAGTGAACATTAAGCTATGCATCAGTTGTGTCATCCATTTGAAAACTGGAAACTGCCAACAGGAGAAGAGTTTTTAATGAACAGCTTGAAAAGCAGGGGAGATGATGGAATACAGTTGTGTGATTCTTAAAGCTGCATAGCAATATGTCATTTTGTGATGTTAAACTTTCAGCTACAGTTGCAAAATATACTAAGTGATTAAGCTACTTTCTTCCATTAAAACTTCCTGAGGCTGAAATTTCTACATGTTGATATTTGATGTCTGAACACACTTAAATCCTCTACATCTTCTGGACACTCTCAGTTTACTCCAGCTCAGTATGACTGTAACTTCTTTATTCAAGTAGTGCTCCATTGAGTTTACTGGGGTACCATGCAATACCTAATGGGGTTTTTTAGGGTTCTCTGCACCAATCCTCACAGAATTAGAGCTTTAGGAGATTAATTTGGCCAGTGTATCTGGTACCATATTCAGCCATGTAACACGATAATAATTGTAATAGTGCATTATCACTTATTCTAGCTTTAAATACTTGGAGTCCCTTCTTGCCAAGCACAAACGTGAATGCATCCAGTGATGTGTTCAGTTCCTCTACTTCTGTGGAAGTCAATGCAGCACATCTGTGTGCTAAGCACACACTACAGGATCTGGCCCTGAGGGGACTCAAATCCATGTTAACCACATAGGCCAGGAAGTCACTGAAGCCTATGCCATGTCCTTAGTGCTGGATCCCCTCGAAGCCGATGCACACCAACCATACCACTCACTGCAGTTACTCCTGTCATACACAGAGCATTTTTTCACCTAAATTCTGCAGGCTCAACCCTCTAAAGTGAGGAAATTAACATCTACTTTCATCTTCAATTAAGAGAACAGCAGCAGGGAACAAAAAAACTGGAAGATGAGGGTGGTGTTTCAGGCTGGGACATGGTCATGGAAGTACCCAAATGACTAGAGCTGAAAACTTGTACCCTGACAATCAGTTGCCTGCTGTTTCTATTGAGCTAATAGGTAGCATATCTGAATGGAGGTAAAAGACCCAAAGTTTTTTGTATCTCTGCATTGTGCAGGTTTTTGTCAGGTAAATAACATCCAATTCTTGCCCTTGGCACACCACTGATAACACTAATTTACAGCTACCCAACTTCTGATTGTTCACATTCCAGG